TTGGGTTCCCAAACACCTACACCACCATGTAGCAAAGCTAATCACTGCCATACCCCATCTTGATTCCATTCTCTGGGTTTTTACCAATGCCTTTCTCTCTTACCCAATCTAGAATGTCCCTTCTTCACTTCTGCTTGTTTATTCAAATGCATCAATTCAACTAACATTCATTGAGCACTAATTCTAGTGAAGACACTGCAAAGAGCAAAGAGCACAGCATGAGGCACTGTGCAAAGCATGTTCCAGTCTAAATTCTGTCCCTACAGAGTCCACTTTGCTCTCTCTCCCATCTCAGAAAAACAACAATTCCTGTTTATGACTAGAATCAATAAGCACTCTTGCCATTAAAAGGTCTATAGATCTTCCAACATATTGTGGATTCCTTTCCAGCAACAGTTGAGTATTTCATGTCTTCTGTAATCTCCAGAGTCCCTAGCAAACTGTAACTAAGCAATACAATGTTAGATGGCTGCATGGGATTGTTTTTGGTCCTAGAGTTTTCCTAAAACATAATACATGTTTGGTAAGATGGAAACAAAATTTCAAATCAATGTTAGGTTTATGTTTATTTTTTCAAAGAAGAATGGAGAAGCAAATGAGATTTCAAAATAAGATTAATTGCTTGGACTCTCAGTGCAGAAAACACTCTTTTCTATCTACTCATCTCAGAGGAGTAAGGGGTGTGATACTTTAAAGGAAAGTTTACATATCCATATATACAAACTTAAACTCTGGAAGTAAAAGCGCCTGTCGGAGATTATACACTATATGCTGGATATCCATGAGGAAAAATTTCCCACAACAACCTGGCATGGTTCTGCCGCTAAATAACTACATGCCCTGTGCTAGTGACTAGCCTATTCTCAGGACTACCATGTCCCTGGGTGCAAGATGGGTGTCTAGGCCTCTACCATCTTCAAAGCCTCAACTTCTATGCCCCTGGTTCTCTTAACAATGGAGCAATAGTAAAGCAGGATAGCCTCTTGCTCTTACATAGAGACAACAGGACGACTGAACTATTTCCAAAAAGACATCCTGTTATGTGCGGTATGTTCTATGTTCTGTCAACTGTCTTAGATACCTGTAATATCTAATAATACCACATCCATTTGGCTCTCCCTCTCTGGATATGTGTCTTTGAAATAAATCCTAGTTTTAGCACACACAAAAAAGACCTGTTTCCAGACTAGTCCCAGAAGATTCTATGGTAATTACAACAGGATCCCAAATCCAAGACCCCTGAGTAACAGTCCATTCATTTCTAAAAAAAGTCCGCTCTAGGATCAAATATGGGAGCTGTTTAGCAGACACAGAGGAATAATACCAAAGCATTCTCTTTTCTTTTTCTGTTCTTCCTAATCTTCCAAGGGCCAGAGACAATGAGAAGAAGCACTCAGGAAGGCAGGTCGAATATAATCCTGCCTGGCTGTTCTCCCTTCCTCAGTTTGTACTATGATAATGGACAGCTTCTGGTTTAAATCATTGTTTTATTCCATCACCCCACCACTAGCAGCCCCCAGTTAAGATTAGCTATAGAAACATAACACAAAGGGCAACTGAAGCGCCAGGTCTTTCAGTGTGTAGGCCAGCAAGAGAGTCCAACAGCCCCTAAATATCCCAGCTGACTCTTCTGATGATGTGCCCAGAAATGTCTGCAAAAGCTGAGCAGCTGTCAACTCAACACTCTCTGCCACACCTGCACTGTCAGTGGAATCAGAGAATGATAAAGCTAGAAGGAAGCTTTAGAGAACTATGCTGGTTGAAACCCTCATATTACAGATGAGGGCCATAAATCACTTAACTGAAATTAAACTAACAAATCAAACCACACACACCCACAAAAATCTTTACATTTATGACAAACTGTATTTTCTAGCAGTGGCCACTCCAATACAGATTCCATCCCACATGGTCTTACAATGCAATAATGACACTCCTTCATTGACAGGTGGGTCTCTCTGTTCTCTCCTCCTGAGCCTGGGTAGACCTTTGTGACTCTCTTGACGAATGGACTGTGACAGAAGTGATACCAGGTGACTTCTAAGACTACGTCATAAAAAGCAGTGCTGCTTCTGCTGGGCTCTCCTTTTCTGGACATGTGTCTTTGAAGCCCTGCGCCACCAGATTAAACAGTCTGGCTTGCCTGAAGTCACCACGCTGGAGAGACCGCCAGGGATGAAGAGAAGCTACAGAATCCCTGGCTATTCTAGTCCCCAGCCGCTTAAGTCTTCCTAGCCCAGACTCATCAGTGAAGAAACCTTCAAGATAATTTCAATACTACCTATCATTTGACTGCAACCGCATGAAAGCCAAGTGAGAACTGCACAGCAGAGCCACTCCTATATTCCTGTCCCATAGAAACTGTGAAAGATAATAAATGATCATCACTGTTTTAAACTGGGCTAATTTTTATTATTAGGGTAATGTGTTATATAGCAACAGGAAACTAATACAAGATTCATTACTAAAACCACTAAAAATTTTAATTTTAGTCACTATTAATTTAAGCAAACAAATACGCAATCTTCCAATTACACGTCACCAATTTGCATGCCTGTCACTCTCTACAGCCTTACTCTGCTTCATTTCAAGGCCTAGCTCTTGTCATCACCATATGTGATATAATTATATGACATGAAATCGGCTATGTTACTGAATATATGAGGAAAGGGCCTTTCTTTTGTTCACTGTTATATCCCCAGCACCTAGAACAGCACTTGACAACACATAGCAAGTGCTTGACAACCATTGGTCCCTGAGTTCATGAACAGATCTGGAGGTGATTGGGCTTAGTCTTCCACCAAGGCTATTTGACCTCTCATCATCTGCTCTCCAGTTTGACTCAACGTCTCTTGATATATATTCACTGTGCTGTTATGTTTCTAACTCTCTAACTAATACTGACAAAACCACTAGATGTTCTTAGTTCAAACCCACTAGAGGAACCACGCCATCCCCTCCATGATGCCAGCTAGCATCCAGGGTAGAGCCAGTGATTTCCTTTGTCAACACACCTGCATGTGTTTCAAAAACCCTTCCCAGGAGGTCTCAAATATCAACTAGAAGTTACTCCATTTTTCATTCAAAGACCATATGCCCAATGGGAAAATGACCTCATGTTGGTGGTTTAAATAGCAACTGTGCCCACTAGCACAGCCCACTGAGCTACCCTATACATCTCTGTCAGTGCCCCTCTGGGTCTAGATAATTACACTGAGTACACTGAAGTTCTTTCATTATTGCAGGCCCCCAAAAAAGTACTGCCACTGGATGAATATCAGAAAGCACGCATCAATGCACTTTCAAGTCAAATGAGAACTGGCTAGTTAAGCAGCAGCATTAACAGATGTAGAGATTCTGCCAGCCAAATGCCTCTTGCCAATTATGGCCACACAGCTACACCCAAATTAAAAATAACCCAACACAGCTAGGCACAGTGGCTCACGCCTGTAATCCCAGCACTTTGGGAGACCAAGGTGGGTGGATCATGAGGTCAGGAGTTCGAGACCAGCCTGGCCAACACGGTGAAACCCCATCTCTATTAAAAATACAAAAATTAGCTGGGGGTGGTGGCACATGCCTGTAATTCCAGCTACTCTAAAGGCTGAGGCAGGAGAATCGTTTGAACCTGGGAGGCGGAGGTTGCTGTGAGCTGAGATCACGCCACTACACTCCAACCTGGGTGACAGAGTGGGACTCGGTTTCAAAAAAATAAAAGTAAAAATAACCCTACACTCATAACAGAACCCAAATGGGCATGGAAGGCTCCTTCCCTCCCCACAGTATCACCCTAGAGTCTCCATATAAATGCCCCTGTAAAGTGGCTCATAAGTAGGTCATTAAAAAGTTTACCTTTCCAGCCGGGCACAGTGGCTCACGCCTGTAATCCCAGCACGTCGTGAGGCCGAGGTGGGCAGATCATGAGGTCAAGAGATGGAGACCATCCTGACCAACACAGTGAAATCCCATCTCTACTACAATAGAAAAATTAGCTGGGTGTGGTGGTGTGTGCCTGTAGTCTCAGCTACTGGAGAGGCTGAGGCAGGAGAATTGCTTGAACCCGGGAGGCAGAGGTTGCAGTGAGCCAAGGTCGTGCCACTGCACTCAGCCTGGGGGACAGAGCAAGACTGTCTGAAAAAATAAGTTTCCCTTTCCTTGACAAAGTAGGTCTCAATACAGGAGGAAAGAGAAATAAGCGAAAAAAAGAAATGTGGATTGTCTAGAAGTTACAAGGGAACAAAAAAGTAGAAGTCCTTAGTGAGGAAACTTTTTGCAAAAACTGTAATTAAAAGAATCTATATCAGTGGCTGCCCAACAGAATATAAGCCAAAAAATGTAAGTTTTACTTTTCTAGTAACCATATTTTAAAAAGAAACAGGTAAAATTAATTTAAAATTTTTTAACTCAATAGATAAAAAATATGATCATTTCAACATGTAATTAATATAAAAGCTACTAATGAAATATTTTACATTATTTTTCTTCCTACTCAGTCTTTGAAATCAGTGGGTATTTTACACTGACTGCTCATCTAATACTTGGGCCAGCACGTTTCAGATGCTCGGTAGTCACAAAAGACCAGTGGTTACCACGCGGGAAAGCACAGGTCTAGAATAATCTCAACTTCTTTTTTTTAAAACACTGAAACACCCAAAGCACTACAAGTTTTCTGTTAGGGAGGCAAAATAACTATACTGTTAGAATCATTGGCAATGTTACCATATATTCCTAAAATAAAATCACATCGGCCTATTATTTCAAATTACGTAAAACCTGTCTTCCAGAAGAACTCAACCAAATGCCAAAGTTGTTATGATCTGCCCCACTTCCCAAACAAGGGAAACTGAGACCCCAACGAGCATCAGGGCCTTCTGTCAGCTCTTGACAGAGGAAGGGGCTCCTGGATTTTGTTTCCCCTTCGTGAGGATACGACATGGGACTGGGTTTCTAATTTGACTCTGTTCATTTAATGAATGATCTCCAAGAAAGAAAAATCAATGATCCCTTTAGGAAATGTAGTCCAGGGTGGGGGTGGTGGGGGCATTTCAATTACAAAAGCCAAACCTCAGTCATAATGCAGATCCCTGTCTAACAGGTGGTCATTGTTTTATTTTGGGGTTTTTCCCCCTATTACAGGCACTCTGGTCTCCTGCCTACTCCATACAGGATGGCTCTCACTTTCAAGAGAGTTCCCCATGGGAGGGTCCCAAGATCAGGGGCTGGTAATGGGCCCCACCACAAGGCTACTCTGCTGGCTTTTGTTTGGAACAATAGAGGTCCCATGATACCTCACTCTTGCTGAAAATGTTGGTAATATGGGAGCATGAACACAGCTGTGTGTAAATTACACACACAAACAGATTAGATCTGCATATATATAAGGAATATAAACATACTAATAGCTCATTTACATACATAGCTGGATCCACTGGCCTGCATGCAGAGGTGAGTTTGAGTTCCAAGGTATGTCTCTAAAATTTTACAATAAGGAAGGCTCAACTTACTGCTAACCCAGGCTGAGACTTCTGCTCCCCCGACTCCCACACAGTATGTACCCAGAAATAAGAGTCTTCTTCCTCCTCATTTGTGATATTTGAGATGCTATGAAGGAGAAACCTCAAAAAGGGGTGTTAGATTTTATTATTACTTTTAAGAGACAGAGTCTTGCTCTGCCATCTAGGCTGCAGTGGTGTCATGGAACTCCTGGGCTCAAATGATCCTCCTGCCTTGGCCTCCCAAGTAGGTCAGACTATAGGTGTGTGTCACCATGCCCAGCTAATTTTGAAAATATCTTTTTGTAGAGATAAGGTTCTCATTATGTTGCCCAGGCTGGTCTTGAACTCTTGATTTCAAGCAATCCTGCTGCCTCAGCCTCCCAAAGAGTTGGGATTATGGACGTGAGCCACTACGTCCAGCCAGATCTCACTCCTATAGGAAAAATAAATCAATATAGAATAATTTTCAGTTGAAAAGATGTACATACATATGAAGATACAGACCTACTAAAACATCTGTTAGCACCATCTAGTAAGGCAGAATCTTTGCATTTTCAAAATGTTTTCATAAACTTTATTTTTCAGAGCAATTTTAGGTTCACAGCAAAATGGAGCAGAAGGTACAGGGATTTCCCATATAGATGGGTCTTTGAATTTTTTAGGTGATTTTGAAAAATATGGAGAGGAGCAATCAGCATTTTGTGCTCACTACATAAACCAGTAACACCGGTCAGGAGAGCTGGGTTCTGGTTCTATGCCTGATTCTATGAAGGTCTCACAGTTTACCTCCGGCAAGCCATGAACACTCCCTGGACCTGAGTTTTTCATGGGAAGATGGCATCCCAAGTACTCAAATTTAATGGCATCCCAAGCACTCGAATTTAGTATTCAAAAGTATGAACTTTTAAAATGCTGAGTGTTCCAGTAAAATAGTTAAGGGAAAAAAAACCTAATAATTCAACGAAGTAAAAATATTAACTTATACATATTTGGATAGATAATAACGAGATCATTACAGGCCCTAATTTTATTATTTAAAATGTTTGCAATAAAACTCTCCAACTGATACTCTCCGCCTCCCTCTTTTCCCCTTGATATGGTTTCTATAAACTCCTGGTTTAAAAAGAAAAAAAGGGTCCATTTCTTAGGCTTTGGTTTACTGTACTTACAGTTCCACCAATAAATCATCTCACAATCTGGGCTGGAGAAGCACCGGCCACGGTTTGATTGCTCCAGCCCCAGGTTGCCAGGCAACCCACACAAGGGGGAAGTCTGAGAACCACTGACAGATAGCCAAGTGGCTGAAACAACAGACTTCTCTCTGTCAAAAACGTGTTTCAGAGAGCCACTTGCCCACCTCTGCTCTCTGCTAAACACTATATGATTGTAAAATCAAAATCAAAAGGCCAACTGTAATAAAAACACACTTCCTGTTCAATTACTAATTGTTCAGAAGCTGTGGGGAGGCTCAGATCCTACAGTGTATGGCAACAGAAATGTGATACTGCAAATGAGATAAAGCCAGCAGCATGCAAGAAACCTGATCTAAATGCAGCTCTGTAGCTTCCAGTCAGGGGAGCTGGTGCGTGTAGAAAATCAACTGCCTAAGAAAGCACCAGGAAGAAAATAATGAATGTCAAGATGTTAAAGAAACAAACCAAACAATAACTACAAAGCCAGAGGTCAAGATTACTTAGTAATAAAACCAAGAACATTCTCCATTGTTTTGAAACACAATCCGGAGGCAATGAAAGTTTCCTCGCTCATAGATGGAAAGGTGGAGCAAGGAAGGTCAATGACTCTTGGGAACCACACCTCCCTGGCAGTTCCAGGTGGATTCACTGATGCTTACAGGAGATAGCTGCACCCTTAGGATGATACGGGGCAATAATGGGTCTGAGAGTCTAATGCAGCATTTAAGTTACCTATGGTGCTATCCCAAGCCAGTAACATTGTGCCAAGCACCAACTCTGTGCAGGGTCCTTCCATGAAACCACTGTATTGAAACTGTCATCTGGGACTCAGGAATCTATTTGGGGTATGTGGAAGTGGCCAGCACTGAGTGCACAGTTCTTCATCTCTTTCGTGCCATGGACCCTTTGGCAGTCTAGAAAAGCCTAACCCCTTCTAAAAATGGTTTATGGTCGGGTGCGGTGGCTCACACTTGTAATCCCAGTATTTGGGAGGCCGAGGTAGGTGAATCATGAGGTCAGGAGTTTGACACCAGTCTGACCAACATGGTAAAACCCTGCCTCTACTAAAAATACAAAAATTAGCCAGGTGTTGTGGCGTGTGCCTGTAATTCCAGCTACTAAGGAGGCTGAGGCAGGAGAATCGCTTGAACCCAGGAGGCGGAGGTTGCAGTGAGCAAAGATCGTGCCACTGCACTCCAGCCTGGGGGACAGAGTGAGACTCCATCTCAAAAAAAAAAAAAAATGCCTGAAATAAAATGTCAGATTACAAAGGAAACCATTATTCAGTTGAAATCCAGTTATTAAAACATTTCTTTTTTTAGCAAAGTTTCACTCTTTTTGCCCAGGCAATGGTACCATCTCGGCTCACAGCAACCTCTGCCTCCCGGGTTCAAATGATTCTCCTGCCTCAGCCTCCTGAGTAGGTGGGATTACAGGTGTGTGCCACCATGCCCAGCTATTTTTGTATTTTTAATAGAGATGGGGTTTCTCTATGTTGGTCAGGCTGGTCTCAAACTCCGGAACTCAGGTGATCCACCTGCCTCAGCCTCTGAAAGTGCTGGGATTACAAGCGTGAGCCACCATGCCTGGCTTATTAAAACATTTAAAAAGGGCCAGTCACGGCGGCTAATGCCTGTAATCCCAGCATTTTGGGAGGCCGAGGTGGACAGATCAAGAGACCATCCTGGCCAACATGGTGAAACCCTGTCTCTACTAGAAATACAAAAAATTACCTTGGCATGGTGGCACGTGACTGTAATCCCACCCACTCGGGAGGCTGAGGGGGGGAATCACTTGTACCAGGGAGTCAGAGGTTGCAGTGATCCCAGATTGCGCCATTGTACTCCAGCCTAGTGACAGAGCGAGACTCTGTCAAAAAAAAAAAAAAAAAAAAGCATGGGCATAGTGGCTCATGCCTATAATCCCAGCACTTCGGGAGGCTGAGGCAGGCAGATCACCTGAAGACAAGAGTTTGAGATCAACCTGGCCAACACAGTGAAACCTCATCTCTATTTAAAAAAAAAAAAAAGTAGCTGGCTGTGGTGGTGTGTGCCGGTAGTCCCAGCTACTCAGGGATGTTGAGGCAGGAGAACTGCTTCAACCCAGGAGGTGTTGGTTGCAGTGAGCCAAGATCGCGCCACTGCACTACAGCCTGGGTGACAGAGAGTCATCTCAGGAAAAAAAAAAAAAATTAAAAATTATGCCAGAGTGGCGGGGCGCAGTGGCTCAACCTGTAATCGCAGCACTTTGGGAGGCCGAGGCTGGTGGATCACGAGGGTCAAGAGATCTAGACCATCCTGGTCAACATAGTGAAACCCCGTGTCTACTAAAAATACAAAGAATTAGCTGGGCATGGTGGCACGTGCCTGTAATCCCAGCTACTCAGGAGGCTGAGGCAAGAGAATTGCTTGAACCCAGGAGGCGGAGGTTGCGGTAAACCGAGATTGCGCCATTGCACTCCAGTCTGGGTAACAAGAGTGAAACTCCGTAGGCCGGGCACGGTGGCTCAAGCCTGTAATCCCAGCACTTTGGGAGGCTGAGGCTGGTGGATCACGAGGTCAAGAGATCAAGACCATCCTGGTCAACATGGTGAAACCCCGTCTCTACTTAAAAAAAATACAAAAAATCAGCTGGGCATGGTGGCGCGTGCCTGTAATCCTAGCTACTCAGGAGACTGAGGCAGGAGAATTGCCTGAACCCAGGAGGCGGAGGTTGCGGAGAGCCGAGATTGCGCCATTGCACTCCAGCCTGGGTAACAAGAGCGAAACTCCGTCTCCAAAAAAAAAAAAGAGTGAAACTCTGTCTCAAAAAAAAAAAAATCATGCCAGAGTAATGTAAGTGCTTTATGAACACATTAAATAACAAGATCTAGCATAGGGTTTTCTTTAGTTCTTGCAGGGTTATTTTGCAGGGGGATGGCGGGGGCAGGGGACTGCTTTGCTTTATCATGTGACCTCAGTTGATAACCCCCTGGAGGGCAAGGACAGCAAGTTTTTCCAATCACCAATGCAATGTGTAGCATGGCTTCGTAAGCACCCAAACTAGCCCTCTCGACACCACTAACCCAGCTCCTACAGAGGCATGGGTTTCCTTGACTCTTCCAGAGCCCAGAATTGGGCCTGGCATATAAGATGTGTAGGACCATATCTGCAAAATGGGACGTATGGACACAAAAGACGTTTTTTTCCTATGTTCTCTTTCCTACAATTCATTAGCCTGAGAAGGCACACACTCCTATGAGGGGATGCAGCCTCTCTTCTTCTACCACCACCACTGCCCCCCTCTCACTTCACAAAGGCAGCCCCCAATCCTTCGCTCCCACCTGGAAGGCTACTCGGCAGCACTGCCCTAGGGGCACCAAACAAGGGGACAACTTAAAACACTGACACTAGTGCTGACACGGTGCCTAGCTCTGAGGTCAGGATAAGAAAGACTCCATAAGTCAGAAACTTTCTGATTCTCTGCTTTCAACAAAACACAAGGAGGTCCTAGTGGAAGTGTCATCTGATAGATTAAGGAAAATCATGTCTAATGACAAATTATACTTTTGGCATTATTATGGAAACAGTTCAAATAACTGAGTGATACTGAAACAAAACTATCATTCCCATCTATTTACTCATGTAAACAAAGTTTCTGGGCACTAATGTGTTTAAAAAACTTCATCTAACCTATTTTCAATAAATATGAAGCAAAAATTAAAATTATATCAACATTTACAATATTTTGTTGTTTTCATCAACTATGCTCTAGTAATAATTTTTTTTTGAGACGGAGTTTCGCTGTTGTTACCCAGACTGGAGTGCAATGGCACGATCTCAGCTCACCACAACCTCCGTCTCCTGGGTTCAAGCAATTCTTCTGCCTCAGCCTCCCGAGTAGCTGGGACTACAGGTGCACACCACCATGCCCAGATAATTTTTGTATTTTTAGTAGAGACGGGGTTTCACCTCGTTGACCAGGATGGTCTCTATCTCTTGACCTCGTGATCCACCTGCCTCAGCCTCCCAAAATGCTGGGATTATAGGCGTGAGCCACCACGCCTGGCCTGTAATAATTATTATAACTTGAAAAAGACTTTTCTTCTAACACTTAGAGCTTTATTATTCAAGGAAATAACAATATTTTCATAGATTTCAATACACATAGTTTTTGTTGCAGGGAAGTACTAAAGGTCAGTCTAACACTAGACTTTCAAACATAAACTGCATCACCTTAGTATAAAGTCCTTGGAGAAGTAGAATGGAAACAAAAATTAAAGGGGCAAAGGATAAGATGTAATACTGAACTACTTTTAAAAAGAAGCTGGCTGGGTGTGGTGGCTCATGCCTGTAATCCCAGCACTTTGGGAGGCCGAGGCAGATGGTCAAGAGTTCAAGACCAGCCTGGCCAACATGGTGAAACCCCATCTCTACTAAAAATAGAAAAATTAGCCAGGCATGGTGACGCACACCTGTAATCCCAGCTACTCAGGAGCTGAGGCAGAAGAATCCCTTGAACCCAGGAGACTGAGGTTGCAGGGAGCCAAGATGGTGCCACTGTAGTCCAGCCCAGGCAACAGAGCAAGACTCCGTCTAAAAAAAAAACCAACAAAACAAAAGCTTACTCATGTATTTTAAAAACAGATGCTAATTCTTGCTCCTGCTTTCATCACGTGATACGCCTGCTCCTACTTCATCTTCTATCATAAGTAAAAGCTCTCTGAGGCCTCCCCAGAAGCTACACAGATGCCAGCACCGTGCTTGTACAGCCTGCAGAACTGTGAGCCAATTAAACTTCTTTTCTTTATAAACTACCCAATCTCTGGTGTTTCTTTATAGCAATGCAAGAATGACCTAATATGGAAAACTGGTGCCAGGAGTCGGGTATTGCTATAAAGATACCTGAAAATGCAGAAGCAGCTTTGCAATGGAGTAATGGGCAGATGTTAGAAGAGTTTGGAGGGCTCAGAAGACAGGAAGATGAGGGAAAGTTTGGAACTTTCCTGCTGAAGGGATGGAGTCCTCACACAGATACTCTACTAGGGCAGTGTGGAGGGGAAATGTGAGATTGGAGGGCCCACACAGAGTCTCCACTGGGGCACTGCTTAGTGGAGCTCTGGCAAGGGGCTATTGTCTTCCAGACCCAAGAATGGTAGATCTATCAGCAGCTTGCACTGTATGCCTGGAAAAGCTGCAGGCACTCAACTCCAATTTGCTGAACCCTGCAAAGCCACAGGGGTGGAACTGCCCAAGGCCTTGGGAGCCCACCCCTCATCAGTGCACCCAGGATGCGGCAAATGGAGTCAAGGACTATTCTGGAGCTTTAAGATTTAATGATTGCCCTGCTGGCTTCAGGACTTGCATAGGGCTCAATGCCCCTTTCTTTTGGCTGATTTCTACCTTTTGGAATGGGAAAGTTTATCCAATGCCTATACCCCATTGTATCTTGGAAGTAAGTAACTTGTTTTTGATTTTACAGGCTCACAGGTGGAAGGGACTTGCCTTGTCCCAGATGAGCCTTAGCCTTTGAGTTTATACTGGAATGAGGTAAGACTTTGGGGGACTACTGATAAGAGATAACTGTAATTTGTACTGTGAGAAGGACATGAGGTTTGCGGGAAGCCAGGAACAGAATTATATAGTGTATTTGTCCCCTCCCAAATCTCATGTTGAAATGTAATCCCCAACATTGGAAACAGGGCCTGGTGGGAGGTGACTGGATGATGTGGGTGCATTTCTCATGAATGGTTTAGGCATCATCCTCTGGGTGCTGTCCTTGCAACAATGAGTGAGTGAGTTCTTGCAAGATCTGGTTGTTTAAAAGTGTGTGGCAGCCCTACCCCCTTGCTCCTTCTTCCATCAAGTGACGTGGTGTTCCCGCTTTGCTTTCCACAGTCAGTAAAAGCTCCCTGAGGCCTCCCCAGAAGCTGCACAGATGTTGGTGTCATGCTTGTACAGCCTATAGAACTGTGAGCCAGTTAAACCTCTTTTCTTTATATATTTTTTTAAATAGATGATAATGGGTATAAATCACTATGGTATTTAAAATCCTCTTTTAATATTTAAAAAAGTGATGCAACAATTTTATTTTTAAATGTCCATGTTTGTAATGTTAGAAGTTACATCCTTATGATAAAAAAAAACATGTCAATTTAAATTTGGGAGAGGGTATGTGGTTTAAAGCAAAATCCTTTTAGGGGATAAAAAAAACTTTTTTAACTTCATATCTACCTAAAGGAAGACCCAGAAATTCTTTGGGGTACCAAGCATGCTTCCACAACTCAGCTATGTTTAGTCTGGTTTTACCTAACAGAACCAAACTAGGGTCACTGAAAACACTTTCTTCAACCAAGACAGGCTGCACCATGGAAGATCCTGTAGTATGTAACTGCTGTTCACCAAGGTACAGACTTCTCTTTATTTGAATTCCAAAGCTGCCTATGCCTCTGTTCAAGGACAGTAAAGAGCACAAACTCCTCAGCATGCCAATTAAAGTACTTCGCACCTTCCATTCTGTCACTTCAGCCTGGACTCGCATGCCCACACCACCCAAGCATCTGGACTCCTTTTCACTTATTAATTGTATTTTTTAGTCATCATCTACACATGTAGAGGGGCCAGCCTTGACACCCAGTGGCTAAAGAGAATAATCTTCATGAGCAGGAAATTATAGAGGTGATCTCGGTTATGAACCAAGTGCAGGAGAAGAGAGAGACACAATCATCTCCCATAATCACCCACCTGGGGCAGGAACCCCACTTTTACACAGAGGTAAAATCTACCAAGCATGTGGGTTCTGACGTTTCGGTTCAGCTCCAGAGGAGGCTGTGCTGTGTTAACTGTGTGTGCAATGGACACAGAAGAGTGAGTGTGTGGCACTTGCCTGTGTCTGCCACCCCAGCTCCAGATCCAACTCAAGCCAGGCCCTGCCCATTTCTCCAAACACATCCTGCACTCTCTGTGTCTCCTCACAGGATAGTTCTGCTATCCGGGGAGCCGCTATTGGGTGGGATGATCTGACTTGGATTCCCAAGTAGTCAACTCACCTCTACTGCAGCTCTCAACAAATTTCCTTTCTATCTCATGCCTAGGTCACATCATCATCCTCTGTGCTTCCATCTTTCTGTGTGCCCCATGGAACTTTCCAATTCTACCTAGCACTATGTTTTGGGCATCCAAGTCCACCACTGCCATTAGAAGACCACCACCTTGAGGTGGGGAGGTCCTGTCCAGGGCCATGTGGAGGCCTCTGCACATGACAGGTGTTTAATAAATGTTTCTTCGATGAAATTTCCAATTATCAGTATCTGGGCCTTTCAGAGCCAGAAGGGGCCCAGATATTGATACTTAATTAATACTCTCATTTATTAGAGAGAGGACCAATGACTTTCCCAGGGTACTGCAACTAGTCCAAGGCACAGATTCAACCAGAATGTGGGTTTACCAATGCTTTTGTCTTCTCAGCATAAATATGCTAAAGAAAATAATTACTATTGGGTGAGTTTTCCACAGATAGAAGAAGAGTTATCTGAAAGAAGTACAAGTGAGGGAAGGGTATAAAAAGGAAAAAAAAAAAAAAAAAAAAAAGGCCAGGTCCACTGCCTGTAATCTCGGCACTTTTGGAGGCCAAGGTGGGTGGATCACTAGGTCAGGAGATAGAGACCATTCTGGCTAACACAGAGAAACCCCATCTCGACTAAAAATATAAAAAATTAGCCAGGCGTGGGGACATGTGCCTGTAGTCCCAGGTACTTGCAAGGCTGAGGCTGGAGAATCACCTGAATCTGGGAAGCAGAGGTTGCAGTGAGCTGAGATTGTGCCACTGCACTCCAGCCTGGGCCAACAGAGCAAGACTCCATCTAGGGGGTGGGGTGGGGGGGCGGGGGGAAGGAGGAAGAACCAGAGTTTCTTGTTTTTTGAAAAAAATCACAAACTGAAGAATAACTGGACATGATGTCAGCACCACTCGTGCACAAAATCTCACGCACGAAACCTCACACAGCAGCACTGCAGCTCTTTTGCTCGGTTAACTTGGGGACAGCCCTGAGTCACGAGATCAGCCTTTACGGCCTTCTTCTCAGGCTGGCAGAAGATCAGGCTGCTGGGATTGGTGGAGCCTCTCAACACAGTCAAGAATAGCTAATGGCAGACAGAAACATTCTGTGGCCTAATAAAGGATCAAAGAAATGTTCCTTACAAAGAGGAAATGAATTATCCACACATCGAGCTCCTTTGTGTCTTTTGTTTGTTTGTCTTAGGCCCTTCGGCCTCTTTGGATAAAATATATTACACTGAGGAAGCATCAAAGAAAATAAAACAACAGTGACATTTAAAGGGAACTCCGTCAGCTACACAGAGCCCCATTTTGGGTTCAGCTCCAACTTCTCCCTGTTCTCTCTCTCCTGGCCATGGGGAGTTTACATCCGAAGCTGACATAAGACTGTCAATAAAGGTTTTAACAAGAACCAGACCCTTCTCTTCTAATCTTTTCCCCAGTCCAAAATGTCAAGAAAAAACTTCAAAGAATCCTGTTAGAATTTTAAAATATTCCATTATCGTGTCCCTCATGCTAGGCATAAAAAATGCACAGATTGCTCCGTCAAATACAACTACGTTATTTCACTTCCATAGTAGAGATCCCATCTTTCCTTTCAGCTAAATTTAATCTGTTCTAAACTCTTGAAAGTTATTGAGTCTTAAAGACATTTATTTAGCTGGTTCTAATAATGTGCAGTTTATAGGCAATTGTGAGACATGACCACAAAGATTATTGGATGGAGTCAAGAAATTTGAATTACTAGAAAAACATAATCACTATTTTTTTCCAATTAATGAATTCATTTATTTATTTTTGAGATGGAGTCTCGCTCTGTCATCCAGGCCAGACTGCAGCGGCACGATCTCTGCTCACTGCAACCTCCACCTCCCAGATTCAAGCAATTCTCTGCCTCAGCCTCCCGAGTAGCTGGGATTATAGGTGCCCACCACCACACCCGGCTAATTTTTGTATTTCTTTTTAGTAGAAACAGGGTTTCACCGTCTTGACCAGGCTGGTCTTGAACTCCTGACCTCGTGATCCACCTGCCTCGGCCTCCCAAAATGCTGGGATTACAGGTGTAAGCCACCACCCGGGCCTAAAAAACATAGATCACTCTTGACTGACATGAATGATCAGTGGTGTCATTTACTCAGAATTACTTAAGAGGGAACAGTAACATGGTGTGAGAAGCTGCTTCTACCCGGAAGGAGGTACCTTTATAGCTCTACAACCTCTACCCTACTCAGTCTCTGTGTAGCAAAACTAATTTATCTTCCTCATGGCATTTACCTGAATTCATCTGATTTAAGTTAATTTGCTTATTTGTCTGTGATCCCTAGCAGGATGCAAATCCCATGAGAACAGTACATCCACGGTTATTTCTATCCCCACAGCTGAGACGGTGCCTTGTACACTCTACTCATTGTTTGTTGAGTGACTGAGGAACAAACACCAGGAATATATTGTACAGCCAATACTCAAATCTGCAATTTTAGTTCTACATATTGTTCCATTCACAAACCTCTGTCTCCTTGCACCTTTCCTCCACCTTCAACTTCTAAATGGAGCCAATGGACTTTGGTTCCATTTAGCAGTTAACGATTTAGTGACTCCACTGAGGAGCCAGGAGCTCCAAGAAACGGGAGGGTACCAAGAAGCACAGCACCCAGCAGAGCTGCGTGCGAAGGCAATGCTCACTTCCCTCTCCGTGTGGAAGTAAATGATAGGCACAGCATACACTTCCTTCCTTTCCAGCCCTTCCTGTATTCCCAGCCCAGTCCAGACTAGACGTCCTTTGGACCAGATGCTCACCCTAGGAAATCCCAACTGATGCCTCACATGATGTCCCCTAGATACCTACTGTCCTCTCACATGCAGTTCTCCTAATGACCTCATACCCCAACCCCTGAGCCCTGCTGCAGCTTTCTCACATTCATATCCAGAGAGCATTCCTTTTAACCCCTCCAGTTACAGGGCCAGAAGTTCAGTTTTATAACAGTAGCAATGCTGTCTCACCATCTCATCAACCATGCCCATCCGGGTTCCCCCATCACAGCGTCAACCACTTGCCAAACCCATCTCCGCCTATTCTAAGACCTGCAACAAAGTCTCTTCCTCCATCCTACCTTTCAACAGCACTCTCAGGAATGTGGAAAACACAGATCGTATATTCTTTTTTTTTTTTGAGACGGAGTTTCGCTCGTTACCCAGGCTGGAGTGCAATGGCACAATCTCGGCTCACCGCAACCTCTGCCTCCTGGGTTCAGGCAATTCTCCTGCCTCAGCCTCTTGAGTAGCTGGGGATTGCAGACACGCGCCACTATGCCCAGCTAATTTTTTGTATTTTTAGTAGAGACGGGGTTTCACCATGTTGACCAGGATGGTCTAGATCTCTTGACCTCGTGATCCACCCGCCTCGGCCTCCCACAGTGCTGGGATTACAGGCTTGAGCCACCGCGCCCGGCCAGATCGAATATTCTGTGTCCACCATGCTTAGTGTTCATTATTCCAACCTAGCCATCTACCGATAGCCATGCCTAAGACGTGAAACCACAGACTTTCCCTATTTACTCCATGGCCCCCACAACATCCCTCTGCTTGATTGTGTTCCTCAACTCCTCTACCATCTCTGTACTGGTTTCTCATGTTCAACATGCAGCCTGGGACTTAACTATTCATTATCTCAACAATGCAGTCAATACTCATTGCCTCGGCTGGGCACAGTGGCTCATGCCTGTATTCCCAGCACTTTGGGAGGCTGACGTGGGTGGATCACTTGGAGTCAGGAGTTCAAGACCAGCCTGGCCAAGATAGTGAAACCCTGTCTCTACTAAAAATACAAAAATTAGCTGGGTGTGGTGGCGCGCACCTGTAATCCCAGCTACTCGAGAGGCTGAGGCAGGAGAATCGCTTGAACCTGGGAGGCAGGGTTTGAAGTGAACTGAACTCGCACCACTACACTCCAGCCTGGGTGACAGAGCGAAATGCCATCTCAAAAAATAAACAAACAAACAAAGAAAAAAACACTCATTGCCTCAACATCCTGACCTCCCACCAATTTTCTAGCCTAAACTTCCACCTACTTTGACTGCATATTAGTGTCCCAACATCCTGGCTGTATCCCAGATGAATTAAATCAGACCCAAGTCTCTGCTCTGTGTGTCTAAAGTTCCTCATGTGAGTCTACTGTGCACCTAACATTGTGAAGTGCTGCTGTAGACTGACAGCTCTCGACATCTCTCACTAGGAATACAGTCCTGACCCAGTCCAGCGGTTCTCAGGGCCTAGAATATGGATGCCCATGGCCCACCCCAGGAATTCTGTTCTGATTAGCTGGGGCACAGACCAGCACTGGGGCATTTTCAAGCTCTCCCGATGACTCTAATGTGCAGACAAGCTCACAAGAAGTCCTCAGCCCACCTCTACTCTTCCAATGCTACTGCCAGATCGTTCTTCTAGGGCAGCTCCAGTCCCATCCTTCCCCACATTTGAAAATACATAATTTTTCCTCGTTTCCTGTTGAATTAAACATAAACTTATCCATCAAAAGTGGGAGGCTCTGAATTAGTTACCTCACACCCTTCCCCACCCATAAGCTTCATCCAAACTGGGCAACTAGCTACTAACCAACTGCTCAAATTCTTTTAGCCCTTGTTCTTCCATTAACCTCTGCCCAGTGAACTCCTATCCATCCTTCAAGGTCCTCTCAAATAAGCCTCCTCTGCAGCACCCTTCCTGATCTCCCTGTCCAAGAGCGGAGTGCAGCTGCTTGCCTCTGCAGTCCCTGTGAGCCCTAGCACACCATCTGAAGCAACAGAGACACTCAAAACAAGTTTCCAATTGTGTGGCTGCTGTCCCCTCTAGATTCTGTGGTGATTAAGTCCAACTCAAGCACTCTCTTACACTCAACTACCAAAATCAGTCAAGGATACCAAAGTGGGATGGCAAGTTGCTGGCCACACTGCCAAGTAATTACCAAGGTTGGTGGTAGCTCCTGCAGAGATCTTAGCAGTGAAAGAACAAATGCAGTTTGTTTAAAGTCAGTTATATGTTCCCTTCCTTTTGCACACAGGAATCAATAACGTTTGTTGTAAGTCTAAAAAAGCTAAGCCAAAAAAAAAGGTCTCTTGAATAACAGAAGAAGAAACTAACAATGATGGGAATGGAATATTCAACTAGAGAAAGAATTATGAGAACAAACAGTGGACAAAAAGGTCTCAAACCTCCAGCAGAGCCCTGCACACAGAGAAGGTATGGACATGCAGGGGAATTACATTCAGTTTAAGGTAAAAAATAAAAACCTTTCTTTTTCCATGTATAAATTCTAAGGCAAATTTAAAGTTATTATCCAGAAACAGAGAGAAATGTTTGCTCTTCACCTTCAAGAATCCACCACCCCTTTTGTGAAGATACTCAGGCTCAGTAGAGTGTACCCTTATACACGTCTATCTTCAAAACAATGGAATGCCCGAGTGACCACAACGATTTCAAACCAGTGGAGAGTATATGGTGTGATGCTCATGGATTCCTCCAAATGTGTGAGCAACCAGATCACGCATCTCAGAGTGTGGCCTAAAAGCAAGATAAATCTACGTAGATCACTTGAATGTTTTACAGAGATTTAAAAAGAGAGGGGGAGGCAGGGGAAGGAAATGTAAGCTGATTATGAAGTCAGAGAATTTAATGAGAGAGACAAGCTACCAAGGTCAGATTGCTCTGGGGTCATAAACTTGGAAAGTGACTACGAAGCTGACAAAGAAGTTGGGCTGTCTCAAAGGATGATCTGAAAATAATTTTCTACTTTTGTTATTGCTAAAGGACTAGATAATTTCATTTCCATGGACTGGACTGAGTAGTAGGATCCCAAAAATCCAGAGTCCACCCCACTCTTTAAGCTGCTTGAGAATTTGGAACAGCTCTGCCTGATGAAATCAAGACTCTCAACATGGGGAGTGGTCACCACAGATCAGAGTTCCAGATCTTCTCTAAGCAAAGCTCCTCTACCTCTTTATTAATATTAGATGCGTTTTTGCTCCAGATCATCCAGTTTCCTAGACCTTTGCTTATCAAGACCTTGTTAGGCCAGGTGTGGTGGCTCACACCTGTAATCCCAGCACTTTGGGAGGCCAAGGTGGGCAGATCACCTGAGATCAGGAGTTCAAGACCAGCCTGACCAAAATAATGAAATCCTGTCTCTACTAAAAATATAAAAATTAGCCAGGTGTTGTGGCACATGCCTGTAGTCCCAGCCACTAGAGAGGATGAGGTGGAAGGATCACCTGAACTCAGGAGGCACAGGTTGCAGTGAGCCAAGAGCATACCACTGCACTACAGCCTGGGTGACAGAGCAAGACCCCGACTCAAAAAAAAGAAAAGAAAAGCAAGAAGGAAGGAAGGAAGGAAAGAAAGGGAAAAAACCGTTTAAAATTCATTTTCTAAAATTTTCTTTGAAAAATGGATAACCAGCCGGGCACAGTGGCTCAGGCCTATAATCCCAGCACTTTGGGAGGCCGAGGTGGGTGGATCACGAGGTCAAGAGATCGAGACCATCCTGGTCAACAAGGTTGAAACCCTGTTTCTACTAAAAATACAAAAATTAGCTGGGCATGGTGGTGCGCACCTGTAGTGCCAGCTACTCGGGAGGCTGAGGCAGGAGAATTGCTTGAACCCAGGAGGCGGAGGTTGTGGTGAGCCGAGATCGTGCCGTTGCACTCCAGTCTGGGTAACAACAGCGAAAGTCCGTCTCAAAAAAAGAAAGAAAGAAAGAAAAATGGATAACCAAATTTACTTAGCTCTGTCACCCTAATTAATTAAAGGCTCTATCTGAAAAAAGAAAATGACTAATATTTAGGATAGACTATATCTGTTTGGAAAGCAGTTTATTAGCAAATGTGTGACACCCCCACAGATTTTAATATTAAACAGTGGTTCCCAGAGAAGACTCTAAGCTGCTGTTGAGAGGAGGACAAGGGATAAAAGAGCACAGAGCATGGCTGCGGTGATGGGCCATCCTTCCTCCCACTCTGGTGTGGTCTATGGTACTAATTAGCCTGTGTCTCTGTAGCCTACCAGATTTGGTTTTATTGCTGCCAATGGCAAAGATTAGAAAACTAAAAGTATGATCAAAACTTAAAAATCAGCTGCAAGGGAGATCCCAAGAATTTTCAGTAATAAAAGGACACTGTGTAAATGTGTGTGTACACAAACATGCATGTGTGCACGTGTGTTTTCAAATTTCTTAAATCGGAATGACTGTTAGCTTTAAAGGATGTGGCCAATTTTTCACCTGGAAGTGAAAGGACAGGGGAGGCAGCAGACCAAGATAGGCTCAATCCTGACTTCCTGTCAAACACAGTTGCCAGCACCTCAGAATTTTTCCCCTCCCCTTTCCTTCTCCCTTTCTTATTATTTCTTTGATACAAAGACTTCAGACTTGCCAGGTGTGGTGGCTCATGTCTGTAACGCCAACACTTTGGGAGGCTGAGGCAGGCAGATCTCCTATCACCTGAGGTCAGGAGGTCAAGACCAGCCTGGGCAACAGAGCAAAACTCTAAAAACAAAAGAAAAAACACCTCAAGAAGGGGTTTGGGGAGACCCTGCTTCCTTGAGGCTATACAGGTACTGCCAATCTGAGGACTGATACCTGCACTTCTGACTCTGAGGCCAGTTTTCTCTCCACAAACCACCAGGCCCTCTCCCTGCTTTTGCCCACCAACCCACCCCAAAAATGAATTTTCCATATAGGAGAGTGAAGAGCCTGGCTTATCTTCTTCAGGAGGTTATGGGCCTTCCCCAGAGATCTCTGGTACCAGGACTTCAGCAGCCCTCAGAGAGCAGAACCAGGAGGGACACAGGGCAGTGGTGACAAAGCTGTTCAGGGTGCCTCTGGGCATTATCCTATTTTCAGAATAACAATCTTGCTGGTGTTCTTAGCAGCATGATTCCTTTTTAAAAATTTTTTTTTTTTATTTTTTAGAGACACGGTCTTACTCTGTCACACAGGCTGGAGTGCAGTGGCAAGATCACGAGGGACCATGACTCCCGAACCAGAAACAGTGCTGGTTTGTATGGGAAGGTGTGCTGGACAGCCAGATTGACCTGTGCTGCCCACTGAGCTCTTTCCTTCTCCCTCCATCACTCATTCTCCCATAATAGAACATATCAACCACACGTATCATCAGTACACATCAGGTGATATTGGCAATGAATGAGTTTTTAAAATTGGAAGACAGAAAATAAAACCACAAACTGGAAGGAGTTGGTTGCTCCTTCCAAAGGAAGCTACTGAGACTAAAAGAACAGGGACACATCCAGTTAAACAGTTCTTGTGATGCTCAGGGCGTGCACTAGCCCTATGCTGGTCAAAGGAGAAGCCTCCCTAGGCTCTGGCAGCTCAGGAGCTCCACCAAAGAGGTCACTCCACTGAAGCGATCTGAGGTTTTCCTGTTCCACTCACTCAAATGGTATTTTCTGATGATCAATCCTGCTCCATGTGCTGGGCCAGCTTCTGTGACTACAAAAAGAATTAAACTAAAACCCTGCCCTCAAGACTTCCTAGTTCAGTGTGGAGGCACCCAAATGAACTTGTCTTCCCAACCTGGTGCAGCAGGGCCTACAAAAGGCAGTGACGTCCAGGCCTTCATTAGTCATGGGCCACTCCTGATTCTAAAGTGCCTCATGAGCATCCTAACCTCTCATGAGAATGAGTTTTGGAGAAAGAAGAAGATCAGAACGCTACTAGGGAACACTAAGCTTGGCCCAGCATTCTAGTCAGTCAGTGCACTTAGCAACCATCCTCCAGACGTTAAGAATAATCACCACAGGCCCAGAGCAAGTGAATGCCGGCCGACAAGGGAAGCTGGCCTGTTTTGTCAAACAGCACTATCAGAGGGACTCTCCCCTGAGCTAAGTCTCAAAGCCAGGGGATTTGATTCAAGAAAGAAAGATTTTTGAGAAGACTCTCTTTTCATTTGATGTATAGAGCATGATATCTACAGCTTCAAGTTTTCCACAGTCTTCACTTCCTGAATTAGAACTTCCCTAATTTGAATTAGACATGCTGATGACAAGAATAATGACTACTCCAAGACAGAGGTACAGCAGGTACACGTCTTTCCAGGTATTTTCTTGCTCCTACTCAGGAAAAACAACCCCTCTCACAAATGCTGAATTTATAGTAAACATATGCAGTAAATACTGTCTAAACCAGTCAGAAAACAAAAACGCTTCAATCTTGACACAGTGAGCTGCTGCAGAAGCCAGAGGAATGCATGACTCAGAGTCCTACATAACTGAAGCCATAAAAACACTGTTATGGGAGACACTCTGTTGGGAGAAAACAGAACAGTCCTCAAGACTTCCTCATGAGTCTGATAATGTAACTCAACCGTGAGGCACAAAATAGGAGCAAACAACTCTGGTCTAAGATCCTGGTGGTTGTCTGACTTCATCTTCTCCATCCACTCCACGGCAGCTTTGCTTTTTCCCAGGCATGCTCCCACGTCAGGGCCTTTGCACTCAGTTTTCTTGGCCCAGAATTCTCTTCCCCTGTATATATGCAAGGCTAGCTTCCTCACTTTTTTAAAGGTCTTTACTCAAAGGTGAACTCTCCGTAGCTATCTTAAGTAAAAGTTCAACCCCTCTACCTGTTATTTCATATCGCTTTCCTGTTTTTAATCTTTTCAGGACTAACACACTGTATATGTCACTTAGCAAGATTGTTTTAATCTAGCTTCCTTCCCCACTACAATCTCAGCTCCATGAAGGCAGAGATTTTTGTCGATTTTGTTCACTCTGGTATCACCCGGCAGAGTGTCAGTACTCTATCAATATTTCCGGAATGAATGAATGAATGAATGAATTCCAACTAGTGATCTAAACTCAGAACGGAATGAGAAACTTGGTAAGTAGGAAGGGCTAATTCTATCTTCATGTTCACACAGAGTCAACAATCAAAGGAAGCTGGCAGGCCAGCGTGCCCTCTGCCAAACTGACCTCAAACCCAAGGAACACAGAGACAGACAGACAGACCCTGGGCCCCCATGCTCAGATGCTGAGGCCAGTACCAGGCATTGTCTTTCTCCCCTTTTAACCACCAAACACATTCTGCTTCCTGATAGCTCAGTACGTTGCTTTATAAATGTGGAAAACACACTAGAATTCACCTATATAAAGCTACTTTGGAAAAATGTTTTAAAGTAAGTGCAAAAACAACATCAAATCAAAGCGTCAGTTAGTTGCATGCAGGGTGTAAGGAAAAGAATAACAACAAAATACTCCCAAGGAAGACAGAAAACAGGTTGGCACTCTAGTGAAGGTGGCAACTGGGGGCTACCAAGGCCATTACTACTTCCACCTAAGGGAGACTTTATTTTTATTTATTTATTTGAGACAGTCTTGCCCTGTCGCCCAGGCTGGAGTGCAGTGGCACAGTCTCAGCTCACTGCATCTTCAGTCTCTGGGTTTAAGCGATTCAACTGCCTCAGCCTCCCAAGTAGCTAGGATTACAGGTGTACCCCATACCCCACCACACCTGGCTTAATTTTGTATTTTCAGTAACAATGGTGTTTCATTACGTTGGCCAGGCTGGTCTCGAGCTCCTGACCTCAGGATATCTGCCCACCTCAGCCTCCCAAAGTGCTGGGATTACAAGCATGAGCCTCCATGCCCAGCCTAAGGGAGACTTTAGGTTTAAGGCAGAAGTACTCCAGGAGCGAGGAGGCAGATCTAAATGAATAACTTCCTCTCATGGAAGGGTTCTCATTTTTCACTTCCTGTTTCCTTCTCCCAACCCTCAATTTCAGTTAGCAGTGTAGTATGTTTTACCTGTGAAAATGTAAGTCTCCAATGTCACTCTACATAGAATGTTCTAAACACACACATTAAAATTGACTCCAATTCTGTTGCTAAGAAACTGCACAAGAAAAGCGTTTTCCATCCTCTTCATTTATAAAATAACCTCTATGTCTATGGGAGAACAAATGCAATCTCTCAAGTCCCCTTGTGCCTTGTTCTCATTTTTTAAATGAACAGAGAAAGATGATAGAGAGTGGCTGAAAGTGTATGCTATCTCCATTTTTTACATGCCCTTGAAAATAAGATGGAAACATGGCTTCAATAACCCACTGCTCTAGCATTTATTAATCTTTCAAGCTGAAGACTCCCCCTATTACTGCCCACCCCCCAGCAAAAAATGAAAAATATACCATCAAAAGCACTCTTCAATTTAAAAAGATTATCCCAAGCAGCCAGAATAATTTAAGTGTGCTTGTATTCAATGTGGGGCTACTTTCCAGGTCTCTGTATAGCCCTAATGCCTAAATACAGACGTGCATGCGCGCACGCGCGCACGCACACACACACACACACACACACACACACACACACGCACGGCCCTAATGAACAGCACAAGGTATGCTGGCTTTCTTTTTTTTTTTTAATCTAAAAGTAGAACTGGGGATAATGAAATTTAAAAAAGTACTGGTTAAAGAAAATAAGAAAAGAAAATCTTGTTAAACACAAAGAGAAAAATGGGCATACTAACTTCTTTGACTACAGTGTAACGAGGAAGCCTAGAAAGCAGCAGAGCCATGTATGTGAATGGAAAGGTCACGGCTAAATTCGTACATTTATCCCAGAGGCAACTTCTACTGACAGGAACTACTGAAATAAATTTTTGAAATATCTTTTCCCTTCTAATAAAATGCTTGTCCTATTTCATTTACTAAGGGATTTTTAAAACACATTTCTCTTTATAGCTTATGTAACAGCAGAATCTTTCTGCAAACTAATTGACAGAACTGACTGCCTTACACCAACTTTTCTGTGCATATAATTGATTTTTAATTTGCTGTCTCATTTCCAAAAGGACTTGATGATAAACTCCACTCTATCCATACTATTGACTTCTTTAAGCAAGGGCTTGGATCAAAGGCTGATGGGAATTAACCATAGGAAAAACAGTTCAGTTTTATTAATAGTAGAAACCTTAGGCATATCTCACTTGAACCTACATTTTTCTTTTTAATATTAAGGGCTAATTCTTACTATAGGTCACATTATGAATACATAACATGGAGTAATATGTACATATACGTGTACTATATCAACATTCCTATTTCTCTTATTTTTCCTACTCTCATATATACAAATTTAGTCCTTCATAAGAAACAGTACTAATGTCATTTAAAACTGGAAGAGGGATGGTTAGTAGAGAGGAAAACCTACTGTGATCCAATTTAAAATGTACTATATACCTACTATGTGATGCAGTAGATACACTGTAATTAGATTTTAGGTAAAAAGCAAAGGTTCCAAATGAACTGTAAAATTTTCCAAGTTATAATTTCTTTAGAAAGATAATTTCAATGTTCTGGCTCAACTCACATGTATGCAAACCTGTACACATACATAAGCTGACAATGACATTAAACCACGTACGTACATAAGCAAACACCAGAAGAAAGCAAGAAGCCAGCAAGCAAGACAATGAAGCCAGACACTGTGAGACGATCTGTTAGTGGGGAGGCTTTAAATTCCCTTTAATGATTTTAGGATGTTGTTCTAACAATAGAAAAAATCTGCACAAAATCCTAAAAAGAATAAGAAAGTGAAAGCGTTCATACTAGGTGACCTACAAGACACTCCTATCATCATTTTTTGAATAAATGGTCAACAACTCTGGAAATTTTACCATTCGTGAAGTAAATATAAACTAAGCCTTCCCCTATACTGTTGATGTAAAATTTTAAAAAACAAAACCACCAAGATTATTAGTATCTGAAACCCATGTAACCATAACTACAAGCTCTGAGAACCTCTCTCCCTCTTTGTCACTGTCCTCCTTGCTGTTTTCACCTCCACAACCTCCTGCTGCTATTGGACCTTCACTGGAATTTTGCTGTGAATTCCATTTGCAAACAGTAAATAAAATTCATTGTATTTTTGCCCCACTAAGCAGCTCTGTCTTCTGGCACATCCCGATGCCTGGCTTGAAAAGAGTGAACAATGAAAACAATGTTTTCTCAAGCAGACATTCCAAAAGGGCATAACAAAGGCATCTGAAGATGCTGGGGAAAGACACCATACAAATAGCTGTGTGTATTCTGTGTAAGTAATTCCTTGACCAGCCGCACGGGTTCACTGGATTACAAATATTTAGAAAATTGCTTTGCCATCTCATGCCAATTTTGAAAGAAGGATTTTCATTTATATTTATGATAGGCTGAGCTAAAAATTAAAAGAAGGTTTAGATATTTTAAAATTTATGAACTTGTAAATAAATCCATGTACATGGCCAATTAAGGTTTATCACCACCACAGATTAACTATCTCTGGATAAAAATTTCAGAGCTTATTTGTATCTAGGTTGTTCACCTCAATGTATTACATCAGAATTGATATAAAATATTTAATGGGTGGTGTATTTTAAGATAAAAGCTATAGTTACTCAAGATGAAATAAAAAACACCCTGTAGTAAAATGGTAAGCAACAGAACCTTCACTTTTTGCAACATCTGGATTGTTGCTAAAAGCTAATTCAACATGAAAATAATTTTAAAAAGCAAAACACAGCTAAGTGGATAGGAAGCAAAGAGTGAGATGCACAGCTCAGTGGAACACCCAATCTTACAACCTTGCAAGTCCAACCAAACTCCACAAGGAAAATGCAGGCCCTGAATTTTAAAAAGAATTCAATTAACATCCCCACTATTTCCATAATCAACAGCTGAATGCTAATTAAGAGCACAGCATCAAGCAGCAACGGAATCCCAGTGCAATAAGCGCCAACAAAACAGCAGCAAATGCTACCTTCAGCTCACATGCATAAATAAACAGAATTAATAACTACCCAAGCATGGAAGGGTGACTTAATCTATTTCAATTAGGTGCAGTTCAGCCTAGGGCCTTTGTATTATATTTGAATGTGTTCATCATGTTTAATTAAAAACCTAATAATCTAGGGTTTTGTTTGTGTGGGTTTTTAAAAATGTTTTAATCTGTATTTCCTCCTTTTTATCTTCCTAAATTCTACCAATCTGGATGACTTCCTGAAAAGGAACCATATTTTTAGCATAATATATGTGAAATTGGTTAACCATCAATGTAACTCTCAGAGGCAAAAGGCAGCCATTTACTTTGGCTCCATCCTTGCCCATCCCTTGGTATTTAAAGCTTCAGAAACTGACCTAGCATTTCTTCCAAAATGCTTCTCTGATCTGACCAAGTTTACTTAGCCTGAAAGACATGATCCAGGCTAGCTACCAAGGTATTTCTCACAGCCACTAAGCAAAAGCAGAATTCATTTGCAGTATCTGGTACAGAATTTGACAGAAATTGGCACATTTTTACTTCAGTTCAAGATTTAAACTATCTCAGCCCCAAAACAACTTCAATTAGGAACATTGTCAGAGAAATAAACTGAGAGTTTGAGATGAAAGGCCTCCCATTGTGTGATTCTGAGGTCTAAGATCTCCAAAATTCATGATTATCTTAAAGACCTAGGAAGAAAAGGTTGGGTATTGGCGGAGGAGGGGGGTGGATAAGAAAGAGTTTAATGTGGGAGCTTTTTCCAAAAGTAAAATGTAAAACTTTTTTATTTTTTTTGGAGACAGTCTCACTTTGTTGCCGAGGCAGGAGTGCAGTGCCATGATCACGGCTTATTGCAGCCTTGAACTCCTGGACTCAAGCGAATCTCCAACCTCAACCTCTTGAGTAGCTGGGACTACAGGCACATAGCATGATGTTCAGCTATTTTATTATATTTTTCATTTTTTGTAGAAACAAGGTCTTGCTGTGTTGACCAGGCTCCAAAGGTAAAATTTTAAAGGTTGGTTTCTGAGGCACGTAAAAGTTTTTCTCTTTAATGTGCTGATTCATAATTATTAACTATTACAAGTTTAAAATCCTGGATCGAAGACAAGTATAGTGAAGAATGTTTTAAAAGGATTACCTTGAACAAAGAGTCATCAAGATTCTTCAAGCCCCTCATATGGAGAGAAATTACCTTCATCATTAAGTCCTCACCCTTAATAAGTTTACAAACTAGGAGGACAATCAACTCAGAAATAAGACCGCAAGGAACACACAGCTGGGAATCAGCAGTCAGCACCAGAAGGCAGATGATGAACTGCCAGTGAGTGAAGCACATAGGAGACACAGTGCGAAGAGGGAGCACTGGCTACGGGATGGGTTGGGAACCGAGCTGAGCCTGGAGGATGAGTAGGGTCTGCACTGACGTAAGAAAGGTTAGTTTCTTCATGAAGCAGCAGGTCTGCCAGGCCCAGGAGGTCCAAGGGCCCAACCTCCCTGCCACACAGCAGGGAACTCGCACCTTCAGGTGCTTATTTCACCAACCCTCTCACAGAGCAGCTGCTTCAAAGTCTTCACATAAATGCCAAGGGAAACACGTTCATCAAGACTCTTGTAGTTAGATCACATACTAGGTAGTTAGAACAAATTAATATGCCACGGGCAACGAAGTTTAATAATAACTAGCCGGCCATTGTGGCTTGCCTGCAGTCCCAGCTGCTCAGAGGCTGATGTGTGAAGATCACTTGAGCCCAAGAGTTTGAGTCCAGCCTGGGAAATGTAGTAAGATCCCCGTCTCTTAAAAAAATAGTAATGATAAGCCAGGTGCAGTGGCTCGCACTTGAAAACCCAGCACTTTGAGAGGCTGAGGCAGATGGATCACTTGAGGTTGGGAGTTTGAGACCAGCCTGACCAACACGGAGAAACCCAGTCTCTACTAAAAATACAAAAATCAGCCAGGTATGGTGGCACATGCCTGTAATCCCAGCTACTAGGGAGGCTGAGGCAGGAGAATCGCTTGAACTATGGAGGCAGAGGTTATGGTGAGCCATGATCGTGCCATTGAACTCCAGCCGGGCAACAAGAGTGAAACTCCATCTCAAAAAAAAAATAATAATAATAAAAATAACTAAAATGTTCCAAGTATACAGAAAACTGGGAGGAAAAAGGGAAGGAGGGAGGCCCATGGACTTACATTAGCTGGGACACATTTGTTTTGCTTATTCCTGTGATTCCTGAGGCAAGAAAAAGTGGTAAATTCAACAGAAGGGGGCCACATGAACACAGCAGGTGTTTTTTTCAGAGCCAAAGCCAGGCGAGGGTAAAGAGGGGACTGCCTTGTTGCCACATAAATCTCTTCAAAGATTTGATTTGGATCCATTCATCAGAAGCTTCCTTCAACCTCTCAATTATTCAGTCACTCTCTCTTCACTGCTGAGGTTTTCAAAGTGAAGCTTCACTTCCTACACATAAGGGAACCATTTGATCCTGAGGTTCTGCAAAGGCTGGATGACTGCCAAGACATTTCTCAAAACAAGAAGCAAACATGATAAAAATGACCTCAAACGGATATGGATATATGCAGTTAAGGATTATTATTCCATACTCAAAATATTCACCACTTTGGAGTCATGTTTTGTTTTTCAAAATAAAGCTGGGCTCTTTCTGATGCGCAAGACTCCCATTCTCAGCTAATGGCTGCAAATCCCGCAGCAGCGAGGGGAGACAATCCACATCTGCCTGATACAAGCAGGAGCTGCAGGAAAAGGAAAGCAGCTTTCTCTTCAGCAGGAAGACAGGACCTTGGCTGTGTATTTTTAAAATTCCAGAGGGAATGAGAGGTCACAAGAGAAATGAAAGAAGGGAGAGAGGAGAGTCACAGCTAGGGAGGGGCTGGGAGGCATGAGTAAGGAGTAGGGAGGGTGGGGGACACCAAGAAGAGGCAGAGAGGAGGGGAAGGAGAGAGGACGCCAAAGGGCTGTGGAGACTGAAGAGAGATGATGGGCAGGAGCTGAGGGAGGAACAGAAGCAGCAGCAGCCATGGGGTTGCAGGCTGACAAGACCCTGAGACCACCTGGGCCAGGCCGAGGGGAGTGAATGCAATCTCACAGTGTGGTTAAACCACCACATTCTATAGACTGTTCCATCCTTTTCATCTTCTTATGTGTTTCTTCCACACAGGCTTTTTGCAGAATTTTAAAACCTTGTCAATCAGATCTCTTATCCACTCCTCACATAAATAGGTTTACAGTAAAAAACCAGTATCAATATGACTTCTTAAAACTGATTTTAACATCTAAACATTAAAAAATGTTTGAGATGTTTCTCTTTACTAATCACGTAAGATTTAAAAATTTTTTAATTTTAAAACAGCTACATTAACTCCATAAGTCTGATAAAATTAAAGTCTTAAGGGACTATTCAATAAGCATTCCATTACCAATCCCTCGGGGCCATCTCAGTGCATCTCAGCTCCTCCTAGCTTTTCCCATTCCTCAGCCCTCGCCCACCCTCGCCCACAGCCATTCTAGGAGCAAATTTTCTTTTCTCTACCTTCAAGGTACAGCCTGGATCTCACTGCTTCTTATCACGACCACTGCTGCCACACAACCCAGCCACCAGTCCCAGTCTGATGTGCAGTAGCCCCCAGAGACCACAGACTCAGGGGCCACAGTGAGCCCTGCTGTCAGAGTGAGTCACTCCTCTGTTCAGAAGCTGCTCACGCAGGGCACATCACCATGCCCTGATGGTGGGTCAACAGGCCAGACCTGATCCACTCCCTCTGGGACACCCCTCCCACAAGCCCACCACCCACCTCTCCTACCATGCCCCTCCTTGCTGTGCTACAGAAACATTCCTGGCTATTTCTTGAACATGCCAGGCATGCTTTCACCTTAGGCCTCAGAATTCTCTGATATCCAAAAGGTTGTCCTTCTCACTTCACTAAGGTTTCAACTAAATGTTACTTTTAGGTGACTTTTCTGATCCTCCCTTACGTAAGACAGTACCCTACCCAGCTGATTCTCGCTCATTACCCTACTCTGTATCTGCTTCACTAAACCCTGACACATTCATTTACGAAGGTTTCCCCTCTTAAAACTTAAGACTCATAAGGAGGGACCTGGTGTTCTCCTTAATACAGCTCCTAGCACAACACCTGGTGCATAGCAGGCACTCAGTAAATATTGCTGAATCAATGAAAGAGAGGGATCAGGAGCGTACACACAATTTCTAAATACTCTTTCTTAGCATATTTTAAAATACAGGAGAGGAACTTGCAATCAATATGTGTATTAGTGCCTGCCTTCATTTAAATTTCATTCAACCTAAAAGGCAAATGTCAAGCGGTAACATTCATACTGAAGACTGTATTTGCAAAAGCTCAAGAAATCTTTAAGTCTTTTACAGCAATGCCTTTTATAAGTCACAAGATGGAGATGTAGCTTCATTAGAGCTGTCTGCTGGATGGGAATCCATGGGTTTACAAGGCTGTATCTGTGGGCATACCTCTTTCCCCATTTCCTTCAATAGGCCACAGCAATAGAATCAATATGTAAAATCCATAATATTTATTTAATTAACTCTCTGCTTCCCACTTGCAATCAATGTCCTTCAGGAGGTTGGGGATCCTATAAGCCCTATAAAAACAAGTCATCAAGCCAGGCACAGTGGAGCATGCCTACAGTCCTCGCTACTCAGAAAGCTGAGGCAAGAGGATTTAAAGAGCCCAGGAGTTCAAAACTAGCTTGAGCAACATAGCGAGACCCCCCTTCTCTACAATAGAAACAATTTTAAAAAAAGACAAGTCACCAACCCTACTTTAGGTTATGTGTCCACTGGTTTTAACATGCTGTGTCTTTAAATAGAGAGGTATCACAAGCTAGCTTGAACCAAAAACAAATTCAAATTAACCTTTTTTTTGGAGTAACTGTCCATTTCTCCTTTCTTTCCATGAAACTTCGACAATCCTTCCTATCATCTATGAAGCCTAATCTTACTAAAATCAAATCTTGCTGTACAATTACGAGGCTGAAGGGCCCCTCCTCCTGCCCAGCGCTGCCAGGACGCCATTCTGCATGACTGAAGCTTCTGCTTGAGCCCCTTTCCCTGAGTAGCAGGGAGGTCACACAATGAGAAGCCGGTGTCCCGATGCCCCAGAGCACAAGGTAAATGCTGGTTCCTGCTCACCACTTCATCCTCAGTCCAGCACTTCTCGATGAGCTTGGGCACAGGTTTCTTCACCAGGCGCTGCAGGGCTTTGCCGGCATCGTAACCGCTTTCGTGCAGCTAAAACAACAGCAATTTTAGTTAGTTAACTGCGCCAAATAACAGACAGGAAACAAATCAATGAAAGGCAAGCTCTGCATTGACTTTCTCTCACGGAAGAGTCAGGAAAGGGGCACTGAGACTCCATCATTTCAGTAGGCGTGGGAATTCATTCTCATCCAAGCCCACCCTATCCCAACCCCCATTCTGTCTACTCTGGGAGAGGGAGGCAGGCAAGGCAGATTTGGCAAAGATAGGAATAGGATCCTATATCCCTAAAAAGCAAACATTTAGTGAACATTTGGCCCAGCCCAGTGCTCAGGACATTCCATGCAATCATTATCTTACCTAATCCTATGGAGAAAGTATTCTCTCATTTAACCTTATGTAGGAGCTACCATCACCCTATTTCACAGATGAGGAAACTGAGGCACAGAAAGATCGAGTAAAGGTGTTCACCACACTGAGCCAGCAGGTTTTGAAGCCAAGACTCCAACCCAGCAAGGAGGACCCTTTTTACTCTTGTCTCATTCTCTGCAAAGCAGCCTAAAGTCATACAATTATGTTTTCTTTTTTAGTATCTGTTAAGTTTTTTGACTGTGCCAATTTTACTAAAAAAACATTTAAAGTGCCTAAAATTTAAGAGCTTCTACAAGAAAATAAGTCTGTAATAGTATGTTAGTTTTTCAGTGCATTTGAATAAAGATGCAGGTTTATCTATATATTCCCTTTAGGACCAGACTTGTCTCTTGTCAAAGCGAATAAACTTTTCTCATCCTGCATCTCTTTAACCCTATGCAGTGTCTGGTACCACGGACTCCTTCCTACCTTGCAAAGATGCCCAGACACTCCTGCCATGGCTTCTATCCCACCATCTACTCTTAGTTTCTGAGTTCCAACTTGCAGATGATGTAGAGCAACAGCAGGTACAAAGATCCTCTTGCTCTATCTACCTCCCCATACTGTGGCTGTCACTCATTAGAGATCCACCTTTCCTTTACACATCTAGTCTTCTCACACAAAGATTGGTTTTGTTTAAGACTTGTATCTCCAGTGCCGAACACAGTCCGTAGTGTAAGGTAATACTCCAGAAACACTTACTAACTTCCTAAATGAAATATTAAATAAATACTGTCAACGACTGTCCCTAGGTAGACTCAATCCAAGTCTAAATCTCAGTTTATTTGAGCTCATTCATCAACGTACTAGGCCCTGGGACACAGCAGTGAACAACACAGAAGTCCCTGTTCTCATGGAGTAGCCGTTGTGATCTTTTCACTCATGCTTCAATCTCTTATTTTAACAACGAGCCAGCATTAGCCGAACATTTAGGACAAATAAAGCTGAACATTCAAGACATGAAAAGAGCAAACCTTAGTAAGTTATAGTCCTTATTTTCAGGAAACTTACAAACTGGTAAGGATACAAAACACACAAAATGACAAGATCAAGTATGTTGTGTTTCCACCATAGAAAGCATTGTCAAAGTAACCGCTGAGCTAAAGCCGGCCCAAGTACGTTGTAATAACTACTCTCGCTTAGGTTTAGGCGAAGACCTATGGAATCATAAGAGAAGAGAGCCGTGTGTTTCTTCTTTTTAACGGAAGAATCATGAGGACGTGCAGACCCTCTTCCTAGCAACCGCTGGAGCCCTTGGGCGGGCACACAGTAAGCTGGCAGTAAATATTTGTTGAATGAAATAAATATATAAAGGCTGAATTTAACTGCTAACAAAAGGAATATCACAAACATCCATTTTCAATGCTCACTCAGCGAAACAGAAAGTATTAAAAATGTGAATTTCCAGAGCATTCTCACAGTTTAGAGGACATCAATTTATTTTAAACCAAGACTGGGAAGTCCAGACTATATATTAGCTATAGCAATAAATCAACCATATTAAAATAAGACAAAAGACCTATAACCATGATCAATGCTATATCCCACTTTGGAGTGGTGGTGCAATGAACAAATATTAACTTATTTATTTTTATCGTTATTTATCATTAGACTCATATTTATCATTACTTACCATTAGACTCTTTTAAAAACAAAATACTACTATGATTGCAAATGTCTGAAAGCTATCCAATCTAGCCTGCTTTCAGAGGTATAAAAAGATCTGAAATAAAATCAGATTCTCATACTTTGCCTAATATCCAGAACAAGCAGACATTTGTCACGTTCTATAAAATAGTGAGGATTTATAATCACAGGTCAACATGGATTGAAACTGAATGAAAGGAAGAATTACAACACGTCTAGTTAATGCAAAAAGCATACATTTTAGTGACAATTTGAAATCAAATCAAGTTGATCAAACCATAAATTTCTAATAAAAAGCTCATACTATATGGGGTAATTAATTGTAAGAAAAGTATAAGGCTGGGCACAGCAGCTCATGCTTGTACGACCAACACTTTGGGAGGCTGAGGTAGGAAGACTCTTTGGAGTTCAGGAGTTCAAGACTAGCCTGGGCAACATAGTGGGACCTCATCTCTACTAAAAATTTAAGAAATTAGCTGGGTGTGGTGGCACGTGCCCATAATTCCAGCTACTCAGGTGAATGAAGCAAGAGGACAGCTTGAGCCTGGGAGGTTAAAACTATATTAAGCCTTGATCACACCACTGCACTACAAGTCTGAGTGACATAGTGAGACCCTGTCTCAAAAAAAAAAGTGGAAAAAACTATGGACTTTGGAGCCAAATTGCCTGGATCCCAACTCCAGCTCTACTACTTACTAGGTATCTGAACTTGAGAGTTACTTATCATTTTTGAGCCTTCATTTTCACATCTTTAAAAATGGATATAATAATAACATCAACTTCTTAGGGATACATGAGGATAATATTAGAAAATATATGTTAGCTACATCTTTTAAAAAGAAAAGAAAAATCGACCTCATCTCAATTTTGATCAACTTTCCTGATTACAGAGGAGTCTTCTTAGAGACAGAAAAAATTTCCTTAAGCTATAAACAAAAACCACCACTTATGTGCACATTAATACTTTATGAAATTTGAGGAAGGCCGGGCGTGGTGGCTCACGCCTGTAATCCCAGCACTTTGGGAAGCCAAGGCGGGTGGATTACCTGAGGTCAGGGGTTTGAAACCAGCCTGACCAACAAGGTGAAACCTCATCTTAAAAAAAAAAAAAAAAAAAATTAAATAAAAAAATTTTTGATTAAAACTCTGGTATCATATATAGGAAAAATTTAAAATTTAAAAATCCTGGCTGGGCACAGTGGCTCACATCTGTAATCCCAACACCTTGGGAGATCAGGGCAGGTGGATCATGAAGTCAGGAGTTCAAGACCAGCCCAGCCAAGATGGTAAAACCCCATCTCTACTAAAAAACTATAAAAATTAGCCGGGTGTGGTAGCAGACGCCTATAATCCCAGCTACTTGGGAGGCTGAGGCAGGAGAATCGCTTGAACCCAGGAGGCAATCGCTTGAACCCAGGAGGCAAAGGCTGCAGTGAGCCAAGATCATGCCACTGCACTCCAGCCTGGGCAACAGAGTGAGACTCCATATCAAAATAATAATAACAATAATAATAATAATAATAATTTTTTAAAAATCTTATGTGCCTGGTACCAGGAAATTACTCATAAGAACATAAGGCCCATAAAAGCAAACTGCTGAGTAGATGAAGTTCAATCAAATATCATTAATCCCTGTGGCATTCTGGCCTTTTGGTGAACCAAGAAGAGCTTTAAACTATAGCAGGAAGAGATGCTTCCACTGAAGTGCTGAACATCTCACTGTGGTTGTTCCGTTTGTTAGAGAGTATGGGCTGAGGCCCAATGCCCCTCAGCTAAATTTCTAGTGATGAGCCTAACAGGGAAAGAGGCACTTTCCCTAAACAAGTCCTGTTATTCACACTTCTTTTTGTCTTTGTTTTGTCATAAGCAAAACTTTATTTCAGATGGCAGTTTCTCCTGGAGAAGCTATTCTTTTTTTTTTAATTATTACTATTTTTTAATTGCATTTTAGGTTTTGGGGTACATGTGAAGAATATGCAAGATAGTTGCATAGGTACACAAGCGGCAGTGTGATTTGCTGCCTTCCTCCCCTTCACCTATATCTGGCATTTCTCTCCATACTATCTCTTTCCAACTCCCCACCCCCCGCTGTCCCTCCCCTATTTCCCCCAACAGCCGAAATATTTCTTGAATGGATGAAGGAAGAATATCATTGTGCTACCATCAGTATTTCACAGGGGCAAGTACAAAACTTGGTCAAGTGGCTGTTCTTGTGTGCTTTCCTCCTTAGGAAACCCAAGGGACCCTTTTCTTCTTAGGAAATCAAAGGGACTCGTTCTAAAGGGGCACCATCTTCTTAATGTTACAGATATTGACTTCTACCTTATAGAAATGTTGTCTGAGAAAATTCTGAGACAGAGCTTTATATCTTTTTTTTTTGGAGATGGAGTCTCACTCTGTCACCAGGCTAGAGTGCAGTGGTGCAATCTAAGCTCACTGCAACCTCCACCTCCGGGGTTTAAGCAATTCTCCTGCCTCTGCCTCCCGAGTAGCTGGGACTACAGGCATACCACCACACCCAGCTAATTTTTGTATTTTTAGTAGAGATGGGGTTTCACCATGCTGGCCACAATGGTCTCGATCTCTTGACCTCATGATCCATCTGCCTCAGCCTCCGAAAGTGTTGGGATTACAACGGGTGTGAACCACCATGCCAGGTCTATCTTTTTAGTAAAGATACACTTTTTAACATACTATAAGTTGTTATGCCCTACACAGCTCCATAATAGGGAAACTTACCCTTACAACATTTGCGGAAAATTACTGGCAATCAGGACATCCTTCTTTCCTTCAACACATTTACTGAGTGCTCAGCTATGCCAGGTACTCTCCTAGGTGCTGGAATATAGCGAATAGCCCTTCTTTTTTTC